TTGTCAGTGTATCCTTTGCCATTCCCTATCACTCCTCCCTGAGAGAGACTTCACCCTGAGTCATAAGGAAAAGGGGACGGCGTATTCTCTTAGCTACTTCCTGCTGAAAAGGGACGCTGTGGGTTTCAGGGTGAAGATCTTCTCTCACTACTCTAAAGGGCCCCTTTGGCAGTAGGAAACACATAGACTATTATGGAGATTGATTTTGGAATTCAGATGCACTCTTATTGATTGTGCTTGGCTGTACATGTACATATCCTTCAAGATGTATCATGGGGGTGTTGCAACCTAGAAGACACAAATTTGACTAACAAGTTATAAGTACATGAGTCCAAAAATTATGGAAAAGTAAAAGAAAAGATTCTTTCATTGTTTTACAAACCCTCCCCCAGGTCCCCTCCACCATGCAGCCCTCGTTCTAGTCTCCTGTGATGACAGAAACACCCAGTTACATCTCTCTTTTAAACGGTTCTCTCCCTCCTTGTTTCAGTGCAGTATACATTATTGAACCCATCTTACTCAGTCTCTCCCCAACCCCAAGGACAGTCCCATTCTACAACAGTGGCATCATGTAATATTTGTCCTTTTGTGACTGGGATATTTCACTCAGCATAATGTTCTCCAGAGTCAACCATTTTGAATAATATTGCATGAGTTCCTTGTTTTTTAATGCAGCATAGTAGGGAAGTGAAAATTTAAGCTCCTTCTAGGAGAGTGGAGCTGTAAGGGGCTGCAGGTGTCTTCCTTTCATGATGGTGGGGGAGGGGGTAATGCTTAGTAAGGTGTGACTTTGGGGACATGGGTCCGGCCTGCCTGCTTTGTACTTCACAGTACATTAGGCTGAGGATGGAACAAGTCTCCTTTATCTGTTTGCATCCCTATAAGGGGTGGTCATGGTAGTCACCTGGCACTTAACCAGGACTATCCACACCACCAGTGTGGGGTACAAAGATGCCACTGTTTTTTATAAAGAATATGTTGGTCTTTTTTCCTTATCTCCTTTTAAGGAGGAAGGTTGGTCCCTTTGGGGATGTAACTTTCCAATCTATAATAACTCTAAAAAAAGTTTTATTTTTGTTTTTGAAAATATACTAAGGGGTCCAAAACAACTATGCGATATCATCTCACCCCAGTAAGAATAGAAAAATTCAACAATATCAGCAAACAACAAATGCTGGCGAGATTGTGGAGAAACTGGAACCCTTATTCACTGTAGGTGGGAGTGTAAAATGGTGCAACCACTATGGAAGGCGGTATGACACTTTCTCTAAAATTTGGAAATAGAGGTCCCATTTGACCCAGCAATTCCACTACTGGGAATTTACCCTAAAGATATCAGAACTGCCACACAAACAGATATATGTATATCCATGTTTATTGCTGTGTTGTTCACAATAGCAAAGAGATGGAAACAACCCAAGTGTCCATCAACAAACAAATGGATAGAGAAGCTGTGGTATATTCACACAGTGGAATACTATGCAGCACTGAACACATGAAATATTATTCAAAATGCATGACCCTGGAGGACATTTTTCTGAGTGAAATATCTCAGTCACAAAATGACAAATACTGCATAATGCCACTGTCATAAAACAGGACTGACATGGGGGTTGGGGAGAAACTAATAAAAGAGGGAATAAATAATGTATACTGCATTGAAACAGATGAGGAATAGACGTGCTTAAAATAAATATATTAGGTATTATTTGCATGACAACAATCTAGAATAAGAGCTTAGTACAGTAGACTGGGGGTGGGGATTGTACAACAATGAAAGCATTTTTTTCAAAGAGAAAAGTGAACTGGGAGAGGGGTAGGCAAGGAGGAAAATGTGCAAAATGAATGAATAGAAATCGAAATTCTGTAGAAATGTTCATTAAAATCTCTGGTAGTGTGTAGGCAGTTGCACTGCTAAACCCAAGGGTATTGCCTTGCTAGTGGTTTGAATCAATCAGTGGAAAATATGCATCTCAAAACAGACATTGGCCGGCAGTTTCTGCATGGACAGTTAGTGATACTGATGACAGTTTTTTAATTGTGTAGCCATTCTCACCCTCCTGAGTTGTAATTTTTTTCAACTTTTTTTAAAATTTTACTTTGGTTTGCATATGAAGTTCATATAACATTGTGTTTCACACTGTCCTTCATTCACATTGCCCTCCCCCCGGTTCCTATCTAATCTTTAGAGTTGCTGTTACCAGTCTGTCCCGTCTGGATACATATTAAAAGAGCATAATGCTCTAGGCAGACATTGTTTATCATTTAAGATGGCCTAGCTTGTTGATCTCCACAATTAATATTCTTGGCACCAGCAGTCAGGAAATTAAAAAGCTAATTGCATTGGGAAAATTCTACTGTTAGGGACCTCTCCAGAGTATTGAGAAGCAACAGTGTTATTCTAGAGACTAAGGTGTGCCTGATCCAGGCCATCGTCTTCACAGTTACTTGCTATGTATCAGAGAGCTGGATAATGTGACTAAGGATGACAGAAGAATCGATGCCTTTGAGTTCTGGTGCTGGAGAAGAGTCTTGAACATACCATGGATTGCCAAGAAAACAAATAGGTCTGTCTTGGAGAGGGTGAAACCAAGTTTCTCCTCTGAGGCTAAGATTTAGAGGCTCCATCTAACATACTTTGGGCATGTGGCCAGGAGGGACCACCCCTTGGAGTATAACATCATGCTTGGAAGGGTGGAGGGACAGCACAGGAGAGGAAGCCCCTGGATGAGATGGATTGATACAGTAACTGGGGCAATGAGGGTAGGTGTGTCAGAGTCAGTGAGACTGGCTCAGGACAAGGCAGACCTCAGATCTGTTTTACATAGGGTCACTATGAGACTTGATAGCACATAACAACAACAACAGCAGTGGTAAGAAACTGTGTTGTAATCTTGAAGGCTTGTGGTTCAAACCCACCAGCTGCTCCATGGGAGAAAGATGGGTAATCTCTTGTGTGATTAAAGTGCCTCTGAAAACCTGCTGGAAGGTCAGCTATAGGTCAGTTCCAGTTTGATGGTACACAACAACAACACCAACACAACACCAACAACAACAACAGTGGTAAGGAGCTGCACTGCCAATCCACAGCCATTCTACGGGAAAAAGATGGACAATTTCTTCCCATGCAGTTTCCTGCCTCTGAAAACACACTGGAGGGCCAGTTTTAACTTGGCATTACACAACAATAGCATTGTTTGGTTTTAAGAAGGCCTAAAGGGGACTTTTATTTTAAATTTTAAAGGTTAAATTTTTTTTTAGAGCAATGGTTTCTGCTTTCGAACAGCCTCTGTGGCTCCAGAAAGACTGATGCCTATGAGAATTTGAAATTCTGTTCTGTGTTTTCTCCCTTTTGATCAGGGTTCTTACACACCATTTATTATTAAAATATTCAGTTCCACTGTAGCTGGCCACCATCTTCCCATCCAATAGAGGAGTTAGTCCATGGAGTCCACCTTGGGAGCTTCTGGGGCAGTTCTGCTCTGTCCTTTAAGGTCTCTGTGAGTTGGAATTGACTTGACAGCAGGGACTTTGTGCTTTCATTTTTATATGTTTACAAGAGCAGGGTTTTCTCACACTAAGCTGCCACTGTATGGGTTCAAATTGCCAACCTTTTTGTTAGCAGCTGCATTTGTAATTATCATGCCCCCAGGGCTGCTTTACTTTCCAGTACTGCTGTCTAGAAGACTGCTCCTCAAACTTAAATATGAAACACCAGGAGACCTTGTAAAACTGCAAATTCCACTGCAGCAGGTCCAGAGTGGAGCCTGAGATTCTTTCTCAAACTCATTTCCATGGAGTTGGAATTGACTCATAGCTGACCCTTCAGCTGGTCCTCAGAGGCTGTAAATTGCATGGGAGGTAACTGCCCATGTTACATCTGTGGTCACTTGTGGACTGTAACCACCACCTTTGGGTTAACATGGCAGCTTCCTACAGACTACACCATCAAACTGAGACTCTTCAAGGGGTAACTAATTCAGGGACCATGACTAGGGCAGATGAAGGGCTATTGCTTCCTATTGTCGGACCATGGCTTACGGGAAAGTATTCATGTGGACACAAGGACAGCTACTCCAGCTGCCCAAGGTGGAGGGTGTCAATATCCCAGCTCCCCCATGACTGACAGGCACCTCGGAGTGGGTCAGGGTACCAGCTGAGAGGAGAGAAAATACCCAGATCTGATCAATGTACACAGGAGGATATGTGTGTGAGAGGCTCATGGTGCAGCTGAAACCAGGCCCACACGTGGGGCCCACAGTTGCCTGGGTTCTTCCAGGGGTGCGCCACCCATCCAGGCTTAGTTGTCCTCTAATATCGCTGAGTACGCGCTGGGGAGGATGTACCTTCTCCGCAGGCAGCTGTCAGCTGCTGTGGCCCAGGCCCTGGAGTGTGTTCTCTCATGTAACTACACTATTCTCTGTGCTCTGTCCCCACTGCAGCCTCTGAGACCCTTTTATATTATCCATGTTACTCTGCCCCTCCTTGTGTTAGAGGTATTCCAGAATGTTCCAGCTAAGGTGGAACCATAATAAAACATGATAGTCTCAGACTCTCCCTTCTAGGAGGACACTTTGCCCAAACCACAGTAGAGAATGAGATAAATCTCTGTTGGCTTACATAGATGGCCCTTCACACCATTTCTCAGGAGGCCTAGTGCCTGTTTGCTTTACCTTAAACAACTAATGGAGCCTCTCAGTTGGTCTTCCCCAAACAAAGAATGTCTGTTGTGATGTCCCCACACTGTAAATAGAAGAACAGATGCTCTGTTGGCAAGACATCATTTAAAAGAAGTAATTCTTTAACCTGTATCTTGTAAAGGCAGCTAGCATGGCTGGAATATCATGAAATCATGCTTCCTGGGCATGTACTCCCACCACCTAACTCCTCATATACCACTCTCATGTTAGCTCAGGTGATGTTCGCTGATTGAAAGGACAATCTGTGAGCAACCTTCCAGCCCAGACTCATTTTGCCTAAACATCCTCCTTTCTTTCCAGGTCCATATTCAAGCCTTTCATCTTTGTGGATGATGTAAAACTTGTCCCCAAGGCCCAGTCCCCCTGTTTTGGGGATGATGACCCTGCCAAGAAGGAGCCCCGGTTCCAGGAGAAACCAGATCGCAGGCATGAGCTGTACAAGGCCCATGAGTGGGCTCGTGCTGTTCTGGAAAGTGACCAGGTGAGGCTCAGGGTGGGCTGTGGAGGGTGGTGGAGCCAGCCAGGAAGGAGCCAAACCCTCAGTTAACACGACCGTCCTTCTCTTCTACTCACTGCTGTCAGTCGGAACCAACTTCTAGCATCTTCCATTGGGTTTTCAGGAGGCTGTAAATTGCATGGGAAGAGACTGCTCACCTTTCTCCCACAGAACCACTAGTGGGTTTGAATTACTTGACAAGCACTGCCTTTGGGTTAATAATCCAACTCCCTATGGACTGGGCCACCAAACCTTCCTTTCTTCTCTTTAGCTTGTTCAATTTCTTCCCAAATCCAGGTTTCCCAAGGCCCTTCCTAGAATGCTGGTGGGAACTGAACATTATTCTAGAGCACTGTGGACGATGAATATCCTTTCACATACTGTTTACACAGGGCCATTCAAAGTGTGGATTCCTGTAGAGAGAACTACTCTGCTGCTGCTGGAAATTATTTGTGGACATTTAGGAGTAAAAGGTGTTCTACTGGAAATAGGTTATTTTAAAAAGTAGTTCTTCAAAATTCAACCTGTTCCCTCCTGTGCTTTAGTGAATCGAGCTAAAAGACATCTACCCAAATGAGAAAAATACCCGATACATGTTCCACAGCATCAAATATATATCCACACAGTTGTACATGTTCATACAAAATCAAGCTTGTAATAGTAACAGGCTTTTGTTTTTTGGCTGCAGGCAGGAGGAGGAACTATGATTGCTAGAAGCTTGTCTATTTGCCTGAGCACCCACTTAATAAGTTGTAACAGATGTAAGAGTGTAAGGTGGAGGGTCAGAGAAAGAGAGGAAGACGCTTAACAAGATGAGCTGACACGGTGACTGTAGCAGTGGGCTCGAGCATGTCCGAGATCATGAAGAAAGTACAGAACAGGGCGAGGTTCTCCTCTGCTATCAAAGGGTTGCTGTTGGTTGTAGTCATAGCCAACTCCACAGCACGTATTAATATCACCACCAGCAGGTTTAAACGCTCTGAAGGAAAGGGGCGCCTTTTAGGTAAATCAATCATAAATGTTGTGAACTTAGTGAGCGTATGCCCAGCATGGTGTGCTATATAAAAATGGCAACATGGGCACTAAATCCAAGTGAATTCAGAAAGTATCTCTGAACAGGACAGTCTTGGGATTTATTTATTTTTTAAAATTCCAGAGACGTGACCATGTTGACATATAGAAGTTGACATCTGGCCTCCTTGCCAGATTCCTTGCCTGGTACTGTGAATGCAGCTGGTGCATTGAAATTAGTTTTATTCATTGGTTATTTTTTTCCCTAGTTTATTTTTTTTTAATTGTGATGGTAATGAAAGTTTGCAGACAGGATGGGGTTTTCTTTAATTCCTTGTTGCACACTTTCCTCCCCGCTGCCCCCTCTGTTTTCCCTCGCCCAGTCCACTTTGCAGTGCACCCCCTGTTGCAGACTGTCGTCATACACATAATGCCTTATCACGTATTCCTTTCAGGTAGTTCTCCCCCTCGTCTGTTCCCGAGTCCTCATTATCTGTCCACTCTTTTCTCATTTCTCCTTTAGTCCTTGACAGTGCTTATCTCACAGGTGGATGCTAGTGGGCCCAGGCTGACTGAAAATGCCTCTCTGTGGTCTTTGTATTTGGTAATTAGGAGGCAGAAAGGTCCATGTGTTCTGAAATAACTATACATAAAATTTCAGAGAGGATACTGAGGCAGTCATACAAATTTGAAGATAGAAAAACAGCCATTGGTTTGAGTTGAAGCAGCCTTCCGATGTGGCAGGTGGGTGGCGAGAGCAACTTCCCAGTCATGGAACTAAGTGAGAAAATGAGAACCTTTCACTCTTTCTCAAACTCATTGCTGTTGAGTCAGAACTAACTCATTGCTGACCCTCCAGCACATTTTGGAGCCTGTATATCACACAGGAGGAGATTGCCCATCCGAAACACCACTTTCCGGTTAGCAGCCCAATTCCATATGGAACTGTTTATACCACCAGAGCTCCCTAAGTTACACTCCATTTTCCTAATGGAGTTTATATCACCAGAGTTCTCTATTACACCAGCCAGGAATTGAGTCCAGGTTTCCTTAGGGGAGGCAAGAATTCTACCACTGAACCACTAGTGTTTACCCTTTTCGCCATCTGTCATTGTAAATTAAGGATTCCCCCTGCAGGTAGAGATCTCATTGCCTTAGAAAAAGGATAAATGGGTGGTTGACATAAAATGTATTTATTCATTGTTCTCTGTATACATTCAGTATTTATTAAGATTGCCTGGAAGTCCCAGGGAGCTCTGGTGGCCCAGTGGCAAGAAGCTGTGCAATCCTGAAGGCATGTGCTTCGAGGCCACCAGGTACTCTGTGAGAGAAGGACGGACAGTCTCCTCCCTTGTGATTAACTGCCTCTGAAAACCCACTGGAGGGTCAGCTATGGGTCGGTTCCTCCTCTGCAGTACACAGCAACAACAATAACATCAACATCAACATCATCAACATGATGTCTTAGTCACTGGAGAACTGAAAGAAATCTATTTCTTACTAAGGGAGCGCTGGTGGCTTAGTGGTAAGGAATTGCATGCCAATAAAAACGTACGCGGTTCAAGGCCACCAGCTGCTCTGTGAGAGACGGATGGGCACTCAACTCCCATGCGATTTACTGCCTCTGAAAACCCAGTGGAGGGGTCAACTGAAGGTCAGTTCCAACTGTATGGCACACAACAATGACAAGAACTATTTCTTCTTACCTGAGATGGATCCAGACAAGCCATTACAAGACAGGAAGATAATGACTGTGATAGAAATAAAGGCTGTATTCTGTGGAATTCCACAGGGGGTGGGGGGCACTAACTGCATGGGGTCTGGGGTGAGAGAAACCTTTCCAGAGAAACTTAATGGTGGGTGCAGGTTGACCAAGTGTTGAGGGAGAGAGCTTGCTGGTCAGTGGGCAGAGTGGTCTGTGTGTACAGTGGCAAGAAAGGGAATCGTGGATTAGAGGATTGTGATTGGTCAGCCTGGCTGAAGAGGGGGGGATGGGGAGGCCGTGGCAAGTGGGAGCCTTGGTGTATGAATGCCCCTCAGGAGTCTGGATTTTATCCCAAAGGCAAAGCTGTTCAAGTATTCCATTCCGAGCAGGGCAGTGACCTAACCACATTAGCATTCTAGAATGATGCCTGGGACAGTGGTGTGGGAAGCTGATTGAAGTGGGTGGGCAGTACTGTAGGCAGGAAGCCAGCAGGCCCCCAGGGAGTCCTTTCATGTCCATTGTAATCCCTCTTCCCCTCCCTCCCTCCCTCCCTCCCTCCCTCCTATCCCACTGCCTTGCTGAGCTGTAAAGTGTGTCCTTCTGCAGGAGCAGGGGCACAAGCTGAGGAACACCATGCTGGAACTAGAGAAACAAGGCCTGGAAGCTATGGAAGAGATCCTGGTTGGCTCGGACCGCCTGGACCCTGCTGAAGTAGGGGACCTTTTCTATGATTGCGTTGACACGGAGATCAAGTTCTTTAAGTGAAGTAAGCATTCTTTCTCCCCTTCTTACTTAAAACTTCCCATCTTACTACATTACCAGCAAGACAAACCACTCTCCTGTTTGAGTAAGTTAAGATGAGAGAGTTAAGCTGTGGTCTCCTCTTCCAAAGCCCAACTGGAGTGTAAATCTGTTCTGCCTTGACTTTCAAACCCTGCCTCCTCTTCTACAATGTCTGCCCCCTTTTTCTGCGACGGATGTAGATCCTTTTGTGTGCTGTTCGGTTGTCTGGCTAATTGTGGATCTTAAGCTGTTCTTGTATTCCAGTGACAATGGACATAATAATCTCTTCACAAGAGGACTAGAGATCATCGAGGCTCGAAGGATTGGCCCCACAGAGCTTAGTGTGCAGCAAAAGCAAATAATCTTTGCAAATCTTACTTTTCTGTCATTCAGGGTTTTTTTTTCACGGTTAACAAAAGACATTTCTTTGCCAGCCCAGGGCTCTTGCGTGCATGCTCCAGGGAAAATCTAAATGGTTTCTCTTCACCTGAATGCAACATGTCTGAAGTGCAGAATGCTGTCAGGTGGATCTCGCGAGGGTCACAACCCAGAGAAAGAGATATAAAGTACACCTCTCAAGTTCCAGCCAGCTCCCAGAAGACCCTGTTTTCTGTGCTGGGTGTGGGAGACCTACGGAAAGAGTGGCCTCTGTGAAGCAGAGAGCTAGTCTTCTGTGCTAGCCGACTCCCCGCTTTAGGGACACAGAGCGGCCAGATCACTGCATGGATCCTCTAGCAGCTTAGTGCACACCCACCAAACAGACAGCACCCTGTGTGGAAACCATTCTAGGCTGAATTACCCACAGCTTGTATAGAATTAATGAAATGGCCCTATGGGATGGTTCCACCCCACAAAGCAGTGAATTTCTTAGCTAATGAGGGGAAGTAAAGGAGAGATGCTTGACTGTTTAGTTCCCATTAAAGTAGCTGGAAGCCAGGCTGTCACTGCATTAGCTCAGCAGAGAGGCTTTAATTAAATAGATTTGTTTCTCACATCACAATCACATAAAGGACTTGATTTACCACCAGAGCATAGGAAAGTGGGCAAGGAAGACCAGATGGGCTGAGTATTGGAAAGACAGAGGGCAAGACGGCAGCAGATAGATGTGGAAGCGCTTCGCTCCAGGGTAAGCACCCAGTCCTCGCCTCCCTGCCCAGCCTACTATGTCCCACAAAGGTGTGTTAAAGAGTAACTGCTGACTTCTCCTCTGCCTTCTCTCTCCACACCCAGCAGCTGCCTTCAGACCAGCAGCTCAGTGGACAGATGGTTTTGGGGGGGTGGGGGGAGGACACTTATCTTCACTAGTGGAAACCCCCATCCATTCCTGCAGTGGAAAGGGTGCAGAGTGTGTATGTTATTATAGCAGATAGTGGGGAAGCAACGGCTTAGTTAAGCCTAGCCTCACTTTTACCTTTTGGGATGAATCAGCCACATCATTCTTGATAGGAACTTGCACATGAAAGTATTGTCTCAGTAGCTTCAGAGGTGACATAGACTTAATAATTTTGTAGCCTCGGAGCTGGAAGGGCCAGGTGTCTCATTATGCAGACAGGGAAACTGAAGGTGACTTCTACCAACTCATTAAAAGCCAGAGGGATGCCAGGAAAATGTGTAAATTCCATATACAAAACCAGGAACCAAAAAGGATGCAAAATGGAGAGAGTGCTTCCACCAGCAAAAGTTAATGGGAACCAGTGATGCCGTGCTGGTGGCTTGTTGGTGTTGAGAGCTCTGGGCAGTCTTGGGCCAGGCTTTCACTGGGGATGAAATGGAGGGGCTCCTGAAGGGGCATGGCCATCCTGGGAGCAGCCTGTCTTGACAGTCAGCGGGAAGGTACAGTTCCAGGATCACGAAGATAATTCATTCCCTGCCAGGTCCACTTGGAGAGGGGATATGAGGCTACAAACACGGTAGTTATAAAAAAGCAAAATGGAGCAGAAAGGTACTCTGAATTGTCACCACAGAGCCCCACTTTCACCTATTTTGGAAACATTTCATCAAACCTAACATGTCTGAGACACTTAAAGTGATTCAGGGTTTGATCAAAAGAAAGCTGGTTCCACCAGATGCTCTGCTGGAGAAGAAGGGAGCAATCTTCTCCTGTACCTGTCAGATCTGATTTGACGGTACACGTAAAAATAATACAATAAAAATTTTAAAAAAAGAAAGCTGGTAAAAATAAATTAGAGAGTGGCCTGCTTTCATTACGCTGGCAGACAGAGGTCACAGATTATCTTGTCCGCCTTCCCCCATTACCCCCCTGTGGCAAGCACAGCAGCCATTTCTGTTATGGGACACAGACCATAGTCACTGCAGAGAAGAGCTAACAATCCACAGTCTTAAAAGAAGATTATTTTGATCAGTGTTGTAAATCACCAGGAGTTGCTGGGTAGCGTGTAAATGGCTAATGCAGCCAATCACGACTAACTGAACAGGGAGCTCTGGTGGCCTAGTGTTAAGAAACTGCACTGCAATCCCAAGGGCATGTATTTGAAACCCACCAGCCGCTCCATGGGAGAAGGATGAACATTCTCCTCCTGTAAAAGTTGCTGCCTCTGAAAATCCACAGCAGAATCAGCTCTGGGTCAGTTCTGACCGGACAACATTCAGCAACTAACTGAAAGGGTGCAAGTTCAAGTCCACCTAAAGGTGGAAGAAATGCGTGTCAACCTATTGCCCCCCAAATCAGCTATTGAAAACCCTATGGATCACAGTTCTATTCTGACACACATGGGGTCGCCATGAGTTGAAGTTCATTCACTCATTTGCAGCTGTTTACACATCACCATCATAGTGGCATTGTCTTACTACTAGGGGGAGGCCTCCCCAGCATAGCCTGGCCAAGGGGAATTGTGATGGTTGCTCCCATAAAGCATGGAAGTAAGTGGTCTACACATAGGAAAAAGCTAAGCGATAGCAATGGATGGATCCTGGTGTATTAGGGTGTGGTGAGGGAGGGGGACAGAAAGAGAACAACAGAGCTTCTGGTGCTGCTGTACTTAACGTTTAGCTACTTAAATGAACAGCTTGAAAGATGCTGATTTTGATCAGGCTGTTGTTGGAAGGTTTGTAAATGCTTTAACAAACTTTACTTTTGAACAATGCTTATCATTACACAGATCATTTCTTGGCCAGAGATTGCTTTGCTTGAAGCAGTGGGAAAAAACGGAAATTCAAGACGAAATATAAACTATGTTTACGGCCACTGCGTGTAAATAGCATTGCCGAGTATCATTTGTGTATCTGTTAATGTTTGGGATGGGAGCCCCTGCACACTACTAGTTCAGTCTCGTCTGTAGATGGGTTGTCCCACAGGCAAAGCCAGGGCCCGTGTTATAAGGAGACAGAGACACCTGTAAATTAGAAAAGCAGAAGTAGGAATTTTTCCTCCTTGGGAGTGGTTTGGAACTTTAGGTAGGCTAAGGATATAATAAAAATTATGGTGATTCTTTTGTGATCAATAACATACGCGGCAGTGTTATTATTAGAAGAAATTTATCTTGCAAGCTGCCTACCAGAGCTGGTGTGTGCTTATTAGTTAGAACTTAGCAAGGAAGTTTCTATACTACTGGGTGAATTATTACTAGGTTTGAAGAATAATTATCAAGCAGGCAAAAGATTTTGCTTCTTACCGGATGGCATCCCACACGGAACTGGTGTCATACATCACTGGCAGGCTCAGGTGGGAAGCCAGGTAGGACCAGTGTCTGTTATGAACCACTAACTACATTCTTGACTAGAGACCCATCTGTCCCTCAGGGAAGGGCCTCACCTGAGCCTGTAGTTTTAGGGAGGAATCATGTGCAGGAGGGAAGGGGGAGGAAGGGAAACCTTCCTGAAGGGCCATCCTGGTGTGGTGTGTGAGATGAGCAGGACCTCACAGCCTGGGGCCATTAGCATAATTCCACAGCCAGAATGGTCCCAGCTCCTCTCCTGTGTTAGCCACTTGACTTCAAACATCCTCAGATATCTGGTGGAGCTTTCTCATGAGAAACAGATATGTACTTATTTGCAGTCATGTGAGAATTTAAATGTGTCAGCTGAGAAAAGCTATTTGCAAAGAACAATAAGAAAAGAAACTGTTTCCTGAGGTGGGAACCCACCCAGTTGTCTAACAGTCTTTTGTACCCCTAGAGAACTCCCCCACCCAGTGCTTGCCCTTGGAATTGTCTCTCAGTGCATCAGGCATAATAAAAAAGTGGAAACCAATGTCCAGTGTGGCCTCTTTGTCTTGTGCTGCTTTATGAATAAATGTGGGCATCACTCACACATGTCTAAGGGGTACAGAAGGGGCTTGTTTTTCTGACTGGCATCTTCAGAAACCCCAAATACCCAACCCTCTCAGTCAGTTCTGTCGTCCATTTCACCAGTTTACTAGCATTCCAGGGATAAATCCAAACCATGCTTTAAAAATAACCATGAACCACACTAGAATGAGAATTCTAGATCATGTTAATAACCAGTGCCATTTATCCAGTGCATCTTTATTCTGAAGCTACACCAGCCTCACAAACAAGAGAGGCTGCCACTCAAGAGCAGAGAGAGAGGGGGAACACCAAACCCAAACCTCTAAAGAGCTTTCTACCCTTCTGTTTTGTGTACCATCAATCCAGAACTGACCTGTAGCTAACTGTAGGTTTTGTAGCTCCAGTAGGTTTTCTGAGGTGATAAATCACATGAGAGGAGATGGCCCATCTTTCTCCCATGGAATAGCTGGTGGATACAAACTGTGTACCTTTGTGTTGGTAGCAAAATTCCTTACTGTTGCGGAATGTTGGGGAGGAAGGGAGGGCCTCTGCTCAGGACAGATCGCCTAAGCTCCAGATAAGGGCAAGCCTCCTAATGGCCTTTAATACAGGGTAGAGAAAGCTCCCCTGTGTTTGGCTGTACTGACTCAAGAAAGCTCACCACTTTGAAAGATAGCTGCCTTGTCTGTTGAGCTAGGAGTGGTCTGCAGAAGGCTGAGGTTCTCCTGACCAATCCGCATGTCCACGTCTGTAAGCCCACCCTATCCTGTCTTCCTGTTT